ATGAAGACAATAGCAACCGAAGGTAATTAGAAACGTCGCATGAGTTAATGATACTGAACTGAGTTATGATTTATGAATGACCTGTTCATAAAGATGTTGAGGTAGTTTTGGTTCTCAAAGCCTAACATAAACTTAATCACCACGCTATCCATGCATGCCTCTTAAAGTTAAAGCACAAAGTAGACATAAAGCAAGCACAACCCACAAGTCCATAGTCATAAGAGAACTGCTGTATGGTGTACAGACCTTTCCTCTCTTTCCGTCGTAGACATTTGTGTCAGATCTAGTGTGATGCGACTTTGCAGATATTTCAAAACTTGCATTTGGGTTGAGTATAATTATGTCTGCATCAGACCCAGCAAGAATCGCTCCTTTCTTTGGGTATATATTGAAAATCCTAGCACTGAGCAAATAGTAAACGATAAAACAGATTGTATTCGACTTTCTAAGAGTGTATTTGACTTTCTAGAGTAATTTTTTAAGTCAAGCATTTTATCTATAAGCCCTTCCAAAGAAAACAATGATTTAAGTGCTAAAGCTTTATTTTTATATATATTTAGAAGTTTCTTTTGGTCATGTATCCAAATACTTTAGAAACAACTGTCAGTGCAAAAATTATATAAAACTACTCTAAGAATAAGGACAAGTTCCTCCAGAGATCACAAAATAGTGACAAGACCACATACCATTCTTACTCTTTTTTTTTCCTTCTTAGCAAGATACAAATTGAATACAAACTTTTGTTGATCACTGAAAAGAAAGAAAACAATGCAATTCAAACAAGACCACATACCATTCAGTGCTTGTAATCCGAACGTAATCACTGACAGAGATTTGACCAGACTCCTGAATGTAAGTGATTTCTGGAATGAGATTCTTAAGAAAATTCAAACTTAACTGCATATTCTGAAAGAATAAAACAAATGCACATACAACTTACCACCATCGTATCCCATACCAAATGCATTCTTTCCTCGATGCCTGAAGATTACAAGTTGTCAGATACGGAAGCAAAGAAAGTAGCATAACTGAATAGGATAAGCGTTAAAACCAGGTTCTCAAGATTTCATATTTGATTGTTAATACAGACCACCTAATATGTAATGTAATATCTATAGGAAAATAAAAAGAAGAAAGAGAGAGGGAGAGTGTAATATCCGTAGAAACTACCATTGACACCATTAGGAATTTTTCGAAAGTCATCAATCCCTACAGCCTTCTGTGTAGAATTAAAGACGCAGTGATCGGTTCCCACAAGCTGCAAATTTTAAGAAGCTCGTTGAGAAATAAACTTCATCTAAACATGACACTTCAAAAACATCGTGATAATGTACCTACCTGTTAAGGTAACAATACTAAAATATTTTTTGGAGATCTTAATTTTTGACAAATACATGCGCGCGCGCACACACACACACATTCAAAGTAAGAACCCAAAACTGAAGCTGTAAATCGAAGCGTTCTGAAATTTGCATGATAGCATTATGAATGTTGATTTGTCGGGCATTTTCAATAACAGAAATTGCAAATGTTCCATCTTCTTAGTTATAATAACCTGCAGAATTCCAGTTGAAAGGGCTGCTTGAAGGGCCTTATCATGCCCCGATGATCTAATAGGAGGACTCATGACATACCTGACGGATGATACAGTCATAATGTTAGACTGCTTACTTGAAAGAAACAAAATAGTGATAAGAATAAGGTTATGAAAGAAATACTAGAATAGCATAGTAGTTACTTTGCTGCGTTAACAAAGTCAGGATCCCAAAGCACAGAATCATCTAGAATTAACCCAGACACAACTGGCTCTCCGATAACCCTCTGCCCTGCAGTTTAAAAGAAAAGTTATCCATCTGGCCAAGAAAAATAGACTATCATATAGCACAGAAATAACACCAACAGAGAAGGATCATAACAATTTGTGAGGAGAAAAAGATAGAGGAGCCAGTAACAGATGGCAGCCAAAAAATTATAGATTGTTTTACTAGCACTGATCTTTTGACAATCTATAATTTCAGTCCTCTATTTTTCCATGGCAAAATTATAAATTATTTTATTAGCAGGTTCCATATTCTCTGGTTGAATTCTGACGCTTGTATGAATTATCATAGAATGTTTTATAATAAATTAACATCGTCTTTTGCGCCAGATACATATACCACAAAGTACATTTTAAAACATAGAATATGGCACCTGCTTTCCGAGCTCTGGCTATTTCTTCCATTGCATCAATGCTCATAACATGAACCACATAGAGAGGAGTGTTCACAAAACTAGCCAAACGTATTGCACGGGACGTTGCCTCTCCTTCTAACTGCATTAATTTCAAGCACACATAAAGAAAGAAATACCCATCAATGGAGAGTGGAAAATAAATTGACAAAGGAGTCCATCAAGTACCCATGAATTCAACCAGAGAAATAAGCAGTAAAAAAATGTACATAAAACCGTAAATTCATTCAGAAGTTCCATCAGTTTAAAACGTATTTTTTTTAAATTACCACAGCAGGTCGTGAAAGAGCGTGTCCCTCTGGACCAGTTATACCAAGTTCAATCATTCTCTCCTGTCCTTCGTATACAGCATCACCATTTTCAGCATGTACCATGGCCAAGGCACCAAGAGATTTGCACTTCTTTAATCCTTGTAATAAGAGCTCGTCACTGATCATTAAAGCCCCCTTGTATGCTAGGAAGAACTTAAAAGAGTTTATTCCTGCAAGTTCGAATATGTGAAGAATGAATATTGATGAGAAAACTTGTAATGACATTTCAAGGTGAAGGCAATTTGATCCACGGTTTATTGGTTTAAGATGAAAAATAATCACTAACCCTTTTCCTTCACCATAATTTCCATTTCCTGTGAAACAACTTCGTCCCATTTTGTGATTGCCATATGAAAACCATAATCCATGCAAGATTTCTTTGCTTTTTTCTCGTACGATTCAAGCCCTGCTGATAGACTTCCATTCACCGGTATAACAAAGTCAATGTGCATGGTCGTTCCACCAGCTAATGCTGCAGCCTGACCACTGAAGAAGTCATCAACTGTCTGAGTACCCATAAACTCGAAAGCAAGATGTGTGTGAGGATCAATTCCTCCTGCCAGAATTCCAGGGGAAGAAAGCTGTAATCAATCACCACCAAAATGTACCACACATTTTGCTGATTCTGACGTTAGATATTAACTAAAAAACTGAAAGTAAACTGGTTCAAATACTCCCGATGGAATAAAACGCTCTTTTAAGCATGTAATATTCACATGAAAAAAGTAGATGCGTATCGAGGACAAGATTCAAGAACTTCTCTCTCTCTCCCAAAATCCTCGAGATAAGCCAAAAAGTGCCTCTCAACACACACAAAGCTACATCATATAGCATACTAGCTACTCACGCCTTTCCCCTTATTTATAATTATACTAAAGAAATTTATTTTTCAGTTTCAAGGGATAAAAGTTTCCAACGAAAGGAAACATATCAAGCTATGCATATTTCATGCATACAAATTTAACAAGGCTACAAAATAATCTGATAAACTCCAATGAGATCATATTTCTTGAAAATTTTACAAGAAAGGGGGCCTCAAGGATGCAGTTGAGTGCGATAACCGGGTAAGATTGAATTGCCTAGACAAATCCTTCATTAAAATTGATATCCATACTCCTATAACATATTTTAGTAGCATAAATGCAGGAAACCAGAATCATTTGTAATTTAACCTGGCATGACATATTTTCCAGTGGCATCTAGGACTGCAACATCATCCCCGACCTATTATTGGCAATTAAACGAGTTAACAGTGGATCCATAACATGCACAGAAAAAATTATTAAACTATAAATGACGGCATAAGTAAGGAACTGTTGAGCATGAATGAATAGTAGGCTTTACTCTGCAGATAATAAGATTTTTAAAAAATAATGACAAAAGGCAATTCAATAGCACTGATTGAAGCACGAAGGAAACCGAAATTCTTTTGCAGGAAACGCGCTGTCGCAACGTTAGGAACAAGTCAACTTCGCCATGAATATGCACGGCCTCCGATTAGTGATAGTAGATCGCATTCATAACCAAGTCTTTTGAATTCACAAACGATCATTACAGATAAATGATTTCGCCATATTGTTAATAAGGAATACCTTGATATTAGGCTTCACGGCAATAATAATCCCGTCTTCCACATAAACATCAGCAACTTCCTGATGATGAGCATTAACAACAGTTCCGCCCTTTATCAGTAGCTTCGACGATGACGTAGTGCCACATGTTGACTCATCAAATCCAAGACCAGCATCACAGAACTGACAAAACGATAAACAAAAGACGACATGATAAAGAGATTAGAGTTTCGGAAATTGTAATCGCAAGTCCAATTGATTTGGAGAAAAATTATTAAGCGTTTGGCCATATAAAACGAAGAACTCCGTATTTCTCTTCGCCGATCAATTTAACACCCCATATTTCTTCATTTTTCTCGGCTACCGATCAGAAGTCAACCGTAAAACAAATGTTAATCAAGAGTACCTGATCTGCGCGGGAAAATATTGAAAAAATGAGCAGGATAAGAAAGAAGAGCCAAGGTCGCTGGCTGGCCGACTCCATGAATTTCAGCGCACCGATGAACTGAAGCTTCATCAAACGCTCACAGACCACCTTGGAGTGCGAGTATTTCTGATCAAAAGGGACAATTTCCCGGCAATATCCAATTAATATATAGAGTTAAAAAATCACATTTTGTCCAAAAAAAAAATAAATCTCAATTCTCGGAGTTAATTTCATATTTTTAACCATTTAATAATATATATTTTTTTTTTTTTTGCAACGGTATAATTGGGAATTAAATCATTAAGGGATAAAAGACAACACATACTTTTTTTTTCTTTTTTTTTTTAATAATATTATTAAAATTTATGAATTATGGATTTTATTCAAAAATAAAAAATATTTTTTTTAAAAAATGATATTTTTATTAATTTATTCATAAGCACAAATATCATCTAGCCTAAATAAATTCACTCCCGCGTCCGTTCCCTATAAAAGCCTACAACCGCGCCACAGCGACCTTTTTCCCTCTAGCGGGTTCGCCGGCGTCGGCCATCGTTCTCAAGTTGCTGGTTTCACTGCACGTTTTCTCCATTGATCTTTGATCCTTTTTTCTTCTTTGTTTGCGGAACTTTCGGGTGCTATCCTTGCATGTGAAGACGTACAAGGTACTTTAGCTGTAGGTTTTGATGGAATCGCTGTTAGGATTTGAAGAAGTACCCGTGGAAACTGAAGAAGATAATTCGTCGACGTACAGCCGCAAATTGGTACCCTGGTCGACTTGGAGCGAGTGGCTTTTTGTTAGTCAATCACTCTTCTCTGACTCTTCTGACTCCGTCGCCGCCGCTCTGGGAAGAGTAAGATTACTTTCTAAGGATAGTTGCTCGACCTATCTCCGCCGCATGTTTTTTCTCCATTATGCTAATTCTTGAAGTTACATTTGAGTCTGTAATTGTAAATTTCATTATGCTGCACTTTTGTAACCGGCTTGATTACGTTAGATTGATGCATGTAGCCAAATTTCCTGGTCTCAGTACCCTCCATCCATCCTTTTCTGGATTCGCGTTGCTAGTTTTCTTATTTGTGGCTTACGTGTTTTGTTTTTGAATCTAGATATCAACATGGAGAAGCAGAGGCTGTCTTCCAGTCGTCGTTGAAGTGACAGCATCTATAATCGAAATCCAACAAAAGGATCCCTACTTCATGTATGCTTCAATTCTCACTTTTCACCAACTTTTTTTGTGGTTATATTCACCAATTATACTGTTTCCTACTCGAGCTATTTTCTGTAGGAGAATGAAAGTGGAAGCCTACATTTTGAGATTAGAAATTAGGAGCGATAGTTTTAACTTCAAAACAATTAATTTTAATTAATGGTTATTCAATAGATCGCTAACAATCAAATTGTGTATTGACCATTTCCTTCTCTTGGGTCTGTCAGTAATATTAACGCTACCATGTGTTTGAGTACATATATTTTTTGTATCCAAGGTTATATGGTGTTTTTATGTGGAAACCACTATTGGCGTTCATTAGTTTCTGTTATTCATTCTTTGCAGAAAGAACCAATCGGTGGATGCTTCAGTTCGTGGTACAGAGGAACAATTAAATAGTGTTTCACTTTCAGAGGAAGCGTTAGCCATGTTATATTGCATGGCCATTATGAGGTAATTATTTTCTTATATTGTAAGTTAAGAGGTGAAAATTTCTTAATTTGTTACTCGTTATTCTGACCTTCTAAGTCTGATTAACTAAAGGTTATCATATGGTGAACTTTTTTTTGTATTACGTATTAACAAAGTAGTGTTGATGTTACATTTTAAAACAAATATTGAAGTATCAACCTATTGGTGCAAAGTTCACGCTTCCTAGAATGTCAATGCCATTGTTCATTTATACGGCTTAGTTGTAGGAAAGAATTTACAATTTCACGGTCTCAAACTGATTACATGAGATCCAGATTAGCCGTATTGAAAATACAGTCAATTAGATTGTTGAAACGTGTCTTCCGTTAACCTATTCGCATTAACTGTACAAGTCTGTAGTAAGAGGTTCCATAACATGAAAATAATCATTCCACATGCTTCACTTTGGACTGATTGAAGTAAGTTAGGATAGAGCTAGCTGTTTGGTGGACCTTTATATTGAATTTTTGTGCGTTTTTTTTTCACTGTTTTCACAAGATTACAGAATAAAAGTAAACTTTTCTTCTGAAGAATCACAAAGAACTCACTGCATTCTTGGTTTTAAAGGCTTGTAAATGGTGTTGTTGAGAAGACACGCAAGAAAACAGAGGTTTCAATTGCTGTGGCAGCTGATGCTATTGGTTTGCCTCGTGTACTGATTGATATTCGTCATGGTGAGTACCACCAAATATCATTTTGTGTGCTATTTTTCTTTTCTTTTTCTTTCCAGTTTTATGAGCTTCTTTCTCAAAGTTTTATGATCTTCCTATATATGCTGCAAATGTGACAAAACCACTTGTCAGTTTTACTGTTCTTTGATTTTTTTGCAACATCATCCATTCTCAATAATAGGTTGCCTATAATTAATTGATTGTAATTAGTTTTATATTTCTCTTGGCAATGATTATAGAGGGTTCTCATCGTGAACTTCCAGCTCTTCAGGTGGTTCGGTGTGCCTCAATCAAGGTATGACTATGAAGTATGAACTCTTAACATTCTCGTTTTTTCACATTTTAATGGCTTTCAACTTTATTTGCTCCTTTTCTTTTTAATGATTAATCTCTATTTATGATAGTTTCACTTAGCATCATTCAAAGTGGAACAATAAATCATTAACAAATTTACAAATGTGCCTGTTCTATCCTTTCTGCATTTCGTTTGCGGCAGTTTGTACTTGAATGTCATTTCTCTATAGAATTTTTTTTTTAAACAGTAGAAGATTAACTGAGATGGGAAGTAAACTGAAGCCTTCTTGATTTTTGGTGATTTCAGGCACTTCATTGGTTGAAAGCTTATTATTGGGATCCTCAGGAAAAAGCAATTCCATTTCTAGGTGATATAAGTACTACCATTAGAAAAGAAATCAAATCCAGACTTCGTGATTTGGCTTTCAACTTAAGTGAGAAGCAAGATTCTCAACGTGGATCAGTGGTCAAGCCAAAACGTACGTGTTTATTTTCTCCCTTTTAAAGGCCATATTTTATATTTCCTTTTAACTTTTTTTATTACTATCTAATGTGTCTTAAATGGTTTTGTTTCTAGTTTTAACTAATTTGTGGCTGACTTGAATTTCGTCTTAAATGGGAGATCTTGAGATGAGACAGATTATTTAAGGATTGCTAGATCAATACTATTGCTTCCAACAATAGACATGAGGAGGAGATAATTATAGAATTTTCTAGTCTTGGTTAATGGCATGGTGTTTTTGGTTTTCCATGTTGTTCAAATAAGGTTATTTACTAGTTATTTTTTTCTTTTTGAAAAGAATTAGAAGTTTCATACCCACCATGGGTTAACATAGGCTTATAAAAATGCTCGGTAAATAGTAAAAGACTGAGAGGGAATGAGTTCAAGTAATGGTTACCACCTATTAAGGGTTTAATATCCTATAGGTTACCTTTGTAATCAAATGTAGTAAAGTTGGACAATTGTTCCATTAGAATAGTCAAAGTGCTTATAAACTAGCCTAGACACTCACAGATATCAAAATCGAAAAAAGCAAAAGAAAATAATTAAGTGGTAAATAATCCAATCCAAGAATCTCCAAGGACTTTTAGGGATTGAAAGAAGGTTTGTTCATTGGCTAGGTTTAACACTTCTAACTCGACATCAGTCTCCAAGTATTTTTGTAATTACCTGTAGGTCTTATTCTTGTAAATTAGAGCCTCCTTTTGTGTAGTTGGTTATTCGGCTCCTCTGGTTTGGGGTGTCTTTCTATGTCAGTTGGCTTTCTATTTCATATTCTCATACTTCTCTATGAAAGCGAAGTTTCTCATTTGAAAAAAAGAAATTAAACCAAGAACTGCACCTCTGTAGAAGCAAAGCCTGTTTAAAAATCTAACTTAGAATTGCTTCCCAACTTAAATAAATTCTGAAGAGATTGCTGAAATAATTGAAAAGAGTACACCATGGGGAAGATTGATAATAAGATCAATTCTCTCTTGCCTTCTTGAAAACACGTTGATTCCTTTCTAACCATCCCCCAAAGTTTTAACTGTGTTGACCCGTAACACTCCTGCTTTCCTTTTCAACATGCCACCTCAAAGAAGACGATGTATTCTTTTTGGCATTCAAATAAAAAACTCATGAGCACCCTTAACACTAGAGGTACATGATGGAGGACAATGGAAAGAAGTACGATTAATATATTCCCCTGCCTCTAAGAGAGCATACAACCATTGAGATTCAATGTCCAAAAGGTACATCATCTCTGTACTTTGATCACATATTACAATCTAAAGTGGTACTTTACTGATAGATGATCCATAGTTTCTCCTCCTTTTCTATTAACCCCAATCTCCAAAAGGTACATTCTCTCTGTGAACCTTGGGAGATAAGAATTGGGCAATTTAGGGGTTCGTAACGAAGCCCTACTAGCTAAATGGCTTTGACGGTGCCCTCTCGTGCCTGGTTCCCTTTGGCATAGGATTATTATGAGTAAATACGGTCTCCATCATTTCTGAGTGAGTGCCAAGTAATTTTAAAGGCATTTACAGAAATCCTTGGAAGCACATATCTTATGAGCGCACTCTTTTTCATCCCTAATTCGAAGTTCTGTGGTTGATTGAAGGGGTACTAATTTTTGGGAGGATAAGTGGGTGGGAATAGTTCTCTCTACTCGTTTACCTGCTTGTATCATCTCTCCTCTTTGTTTCCCTACTTGTATCATCTATCGTCCATGAAAAACTGTTCAGTGGCTAGTGTCTTTGATCCCTTGGGGAGCTCTCCTTCGTTGTCTCTTAGTTTTCGTCGTCCATTGTCTAATAGGGAGACTACCAACATCTCCTCCTATCCTTGGTAGAGAGGTTTAGCCTTAGACCGAAGAGAAGGGATGTTCATTTTTGGAGTCTTAACCCCATTGGGTGTTTTTTTTTGTAGTGCTTTATTTCAGTAGTTGCTAAATCCATTTCCAGTCAAGAAGTTAGTTTTCTTGTGTTTGTGAAAGGTGAAAGTTCCAAAGAAGGTTCAGTTCTTTGTTTGAAAGGTTATCCACGGTAGGGTTAATACTGCTTTCAAGAAAGATGCCTCTGTCGATTGGGCCATCTTATTGTATCTCTTGTCAGAAGACGGAGGAAGATCTCAATCACTTGCTTTGGAGGTGCGATTTTGCTTGGTCTGTTTGGTGTCCCTTTTTTGACGTGTTTGATTTTCAATTTGATGGGCACAGAGGTTCCAAGGAGATGTTCAAGGAGTTGCTTCTCCCCTTGCCTTTTCGTGAAAATGAGAGGTTTTGTTGATGGTGGGGATTTGTGCGAGTTTATGGGGCTTGTCGGGGTGAGAAGAATAATAGAATCTTTAGGGGGATTGAGAGATTGCCAGATTTTATCTCTTTTGGCGTCAATTTCTAAGATCTTTTGTAATCATATGCTTGGTGGTCTCATTTTACTTTATTTAAATTCTTTTCCTTAGGGGGGTTCCTTTTATGGGTTTGGTTTTTTGTATGTGCCTTTGCATTTTCTTCAATTTTTTCTCAATGAAGGTTCAGTTTCTTATAAAAAAAAAGTCTCAATATGAACGATTCAAAGCTCTATTACAATCCTTTCCTTGCTGCTGATGCTAAACCTCAGAGTTAAAAGTTGTGCACGTGTTTTCTTGTGTTGGCAATTTTGTTCTCAAGCAGTTAAAGCTCCTGATTTGAGATTTATTAACTACTATAATTGAATCTCTAATAGAATGAAAATATTAACAAATAAGCCTACCTTTTCAGGTTTGAAGACAAAGACGGGCAAGACACTGAAGTTTCTTATTCAGTTATATTCTACTTTCTCTTCAGAATTTTTATCTGTATTGTTGGAATTTTTGCTAAAGGCAATGAGGTCATCAGACTTGGCCTTTCCTGAAAATTCCAAAAAATCCCGAAGCGCCGTATTGGAAGGTTGGAAGCTCGCGATCGCTAAGATCTCGAATAAGGAACCAGAATTGCTTTTAGATCTGCTCGAGGCAATTCTGGAGAAAATCAAAACTCAAGAAGCCTTGGAATATGGTATGGTTACATATCAACTTTAAACTTTACAGCCTTTTCCCTTTTACTTCTTCACTCTTGCCCTTTTCTTGCTTCTTCTCTCTCTTTCCTGAATGGTTCTTTAAACACGGTTTTCTTATTCAGAAAGTCAGTACTTCACGTCCTCAGATCACAAAATGAAGAGCTGTCAAGTCGCACAGCTTTCATCTTTGTTTGCATGGCTTGTTGAAAAACTCAAGGGTATAAAACTAAAGCGCAATGGAGAAGTTTTTTCTGGAAAACACATTCCGAAAGGTGTTCTAATGGAGTTGCTACGTAAATGCCTTCTGGTATCAGCTCCTGGGAACAAGCGACTTATGGATTCTGCCACTGATCTTGCACAGTTATTGGATGACGGTTCTCTAATGAAGAAACTGAACAAACTATCCTTTCTGAATCTATTGAATTCAGATATTCCCGACGAAGAAAATCCCAACCAAACCACTTCAGAAAACAATTTAAACCACGTGGAGTCGCTCCACGAAGCAAGTCGGAAACTGGAGATGATTAAGCTCCACAAAAGAAAGAACAACTTGGCAGCAAATCCAGTAGATGGTAATGTTGGAAGTTCCACCAGGTGGACTGTGGTAAATTCATGGACCCCATGTCCAATTGGTATGTTGCCTCGTCCAATCGGCTCATCTGGTCGTCTTCCTGTTCTTGACCTCAATCCCGAGAACGAACCAGCTTCGGAAGATCTGAGAAGCAAAGAGAACATCGAACTCGGCAAATGTAGCCTCAAGAGAGAAGCCAGTTCTGATACTCAGCAACTTGATAGCGGTACTGTCAAGAAAATGAAGGAAACAAATGGAAACTTCCAATATGAGATGGACGATGTCGAATCACGTGAAGGTGTCAAGGGGCGCTTGTTGATAGGTGGGATATGGAAGAAAGTTGGGGAAGAAGAATTATCAGCCATTCAGTCTGCGGTAAGGATATTAATATAAATTCTTTTACAGTTGCTGTGATTTTTGCTGTCTGAACAAAATCATAGCCTCCGCATTCTATGATATGTGAAAGCTTGTAGGATCTCGACTTTCATGTTTTAGTATTATTATTATTATTATTTTCGGGAGTTTAAACTATATTTGAGATATGAGATTCGGACATCTAACTTCTTGATCGAGAGCTCATGTTGTTAATTATACATGTTTTAAGATACACAGTGATAAAAATATATGTATACATCCTTGTATAATCCTTCTATATTTTGTAGTTGAGTTGTTCCTACTTCCCCAAAATCTCATCATCTTCTTGCGTAGTTGATGATATTCAAATGCATTTCATTTGAACATAGCCAAATGAAGAGTATTTGATTTGATTGTAAAATGTGTTTCAATGTTATTTTGAACATTGTCAATATCTCCCACACTTATTTTCACATTTGAATAGAAAGAAGCAAATCCCCAAAGAATGAAACTTGAACGAAGGAAACTATAACCGTCCAAGCTCGCGATATTGTCTTCTTTGAACTTTCACTTCTAGACTTTCTTTCAAGGTTTTAAAACGTGTTCGCTAGAGAGAGATTTTCATACCCTTACAAAGAATGTTTCATTATTCTCTTCAATTGGTGAGGTTATTGGAGACACGAGATCAAATCTATTACAATCAGAGTATAGTTCAATTAGTTAAGATATACTTTATGAGCAATACAATATATAAAATGGATTTGTGGGCTTCTCAACCGTGCCTTTCTTTCTCTGTCAAAACGTTGGATCTAAGATTCACATCAATCTTTTAAGTTCACCTTTACATCATAAAGAAAAAAAAAATCTCATCGTGTAATAATCCAGAGTTGAAATAAAAGATTATCCCCATTACAGTGAGATAGAAAAAGATTAGGGAAAGAAAAAGTGGATACCAATGATAGTAGTGATGCTTAAACTTTAGGAGACAAAGGCATTGGAAGGGAAGTGAATGGGAAGGTGATAATCACAAACCAACCTAAAACAACTTCCTTCATCATCCATTATAAATTATCCTCTTTTCTCTCTCTCTTCGATATTCCATGCTCGTTTTTTAATATATCTCCTCGATCTCGGGAGAGAGAATTTGTAGAAAAAAAAAACGAATAAATTCACAATAATAATAATAATCGAGCAAAATACTCGAAACAATATAGTTAAATAAATTATATTTTCCATGAAGAAAAAATTAGACTTAATTTTCTTAAATCTATAAATCTTCTTTAAAAAAAATAATAAATAGATATATATATATATATATATATATATATGTATATATATATATATTATTAAATGGAAATATAAAATTATAAAATAAACATCCATTCCACGTCATACATTGGAGGGAAAAAAATATATAATTATTAAAGGTAGACTCAGTTTTATAATTTATTTATTTATTTATTTTAATAAAATTGAGATGGGCCCACCCACCATAGTTCTGGTGGGTTAGTTGAGGCTATTTTTTGGATTTAGTTTATTTATTTATATAATGAAAAAAGAAATTAGAATTTTAAATGAATATAAATAGCCAATTAAAAAATGTGTTTGAAAGGCGTGCCAATCTTAGATGCCAATTTTCATATCAAAGGGATCCTCACCTTACCCACCTTTATTCCTTCAAACAAGCTTCCTGATTGGACTTCTAATTTTTTAATAATTTAATATTCTAATTAAAATATATTATTACATATAATTGTTTTTAAAAAATATGATATAAATTAAACTATTTATTTATTTAATATTCCAAAATTACTCTTTGGAGATTTTTAGTATAAAATAAAATAAAAATTAATTATATGTCAAGTGAACTCCTTGTTTTCTGAAATAATAATATATTATAATTATAAAATATTTTAAAATTTATCTTGTGATGGACATAAAATCTAGTATATATTTAATACAATAATTATTAATTTATTTTTTAAAATATGTCATCAAATTTAAAACTCAAAATAAGGGTGTACGTATGACCAAAGAATCCGACCAATCTCAGCTACCCCCAACCAAACCGTAAAAATGGGTTCGGTTGAATTTTTTGAAAACTAAAATTTTGGGTCGGTTTGTAGATTGATATTTTGTTCATTCGACAACGAGAAATAGAGTTTAACTCAACCCTACTCGTAAGATTATTATAAATATTTGATATTTATAATTATATTTGAATTTTATGAGATTTATTACGTGGATAAATATATATATTTTTAGAATAATTATCAAAATTTAAAGCATATTAAAGGTATATTCGTTGAAGAAATGCGTGGCTGTTGGGAGGCCACCAAAAACCAGGTCTGTTGCCCGTTGCCCGTTGCCCGTTGCCCGTTGCCCGTGCCCGTGCCCATATTTCTTGAGGCGCTAAAGATCAGGATTTTGTTGAATTTTCAAGAAAGGATTAAATCCCATTTTCTTAATCAATTTTAAATTCTATTATTATTTTTCAAAATTTTTTATTTATATATTAAACATAATTTAATTTAATTTAAATTTGATCACGTCATGTTATAATTACTTTTTGTCTGTGTCAGTACAACTAAATTCATTAAATAAATATTTTTGGTTACTATAATTACACAATTAGCATATATTTTAATTATTTTACAAACGCAACCACACATCAAATTATCATTAATTACAACTCACGTCCTTCTAGTTTGCCATATTTCAAACTATTTACCTATACTTTAGTTTCTTTCCCATTGCAACCAAATTCCAAATTTGCATAATTGCATATATACCAAACTTGTCGAGTTTAACAAGCCAAAAGGGTACGATTTGAAATTATGCAAACCATGGGGATCTTTTGAGAATATTTTTAAAATTGAGAGATCAAAGTTAAATATAGAAGATTTTTGTTGGATATTTTTTAAACATTAATAGCAACTTTAAATAAATTAATGTTTCTTAAAAAAATTATTTTAGGCTACACATTTTTTTACATTTTTTTGGAATAAGATATGAAATTAAATCTTATAATCAAAATATTCCGCTTTTTTTATTTTTGTTTTATTAAATATATAGCTCTAGCTAATAATTTTGAGCCTCATTTGGTCATTTCGACCATACGTGACATTATTTGACTATAATATATGATTTGATAAGACGTTAAATTTATTATAATCCAATCATACAATATAAATATTGTTTCAAATTTTGCACGTGTAAGTGATCAATAATGTTTTTAAATTATTTTTTTAAAAAAATATTTATTTATAAATTTGTATGATTAAAGTTTACATTAAAAAAGAAAAAACTATTTGAGTTTCATATATTAATTTTTTCATCAACCAACCAACAAAAATATTGATTTATTTTAATCTAAAAATAAAAAAAAAATGATTGTGTGACAAATCTATATTATATTTTTATCATTAAAAAAATATAAAATAAAAAAATACTTACTAATTACTGGGGAAAAGGATAATTAACGTGTGACGTGGCAAGATATAATTGGATAATGGTAAAAGGGTTGCAAAGAAATGGAACGTAGAGGAAAAAGCCAAAGCCAGATAGCAGCCAATAATATCACGGAATCGAAAATCTTTCTAGTTAAGACGGATTTTGCTTCCCACTTGTTAGAAAAGAGGGAATCTTGGGAAGAGAGCGATGAAGGAAACGGAAGAAAGAGAGATGGGTTTGTAATAATTGAGATTTTAAGGTTTAACATTTGGTTTTTGTTTGATATCCACACAATAATTCCCTCCAAAAATCCCTACAATAATTCCCTCCAAAAATCCCTATCTTCTTCTTCTGCTAATTCGTAATTCAAGCCTTGAGACCGCCCATTAAATACATGGGTCTCTCCTTCCCTTGTTTATGCACACAAACTGTTTGATAAATTGCCCAAGAGAGGGATTGAAGGCGATTGAGAGCTCTGTGGGTGGTGGTGGTGGAGGAGGATTTGATGATGGTCCATTGATGAAGAACACGACTTGCTTTTGAAGTTTGAGGTGAGAAGAAAGGACCCCACCTTCTTCATTTCTTTTTATCTGCTCTTCTTCTTTGTAGCCACCATTATCTCCGCCACTAGTTCTAGATCTCCTAGTCGTTGTCTGTTGTGTGTCATTTCTATATTTCTTACAATTTTAAGGTGTTGGGTGCACCTAATTGTGGCTTATCTGCCAACAACTCCGATCTATTTTTCCACCTTATTCTTTTGGTTTAGCTCTTTTTTAAGAAACAAAATCAGGGATTTTGGAGATATGGGTCATTGCATCTAGACTCTTATAGCTTTATTATCATTGTTTATTTATTTTTTTCGCTTCTTGGGACTCTCCAGGTGTCAGGAAACCACCATAGATTTGAGACTGCCCCACCCAATCGACAAGTTTCAGTCATGGGTTCATCCAATAGAACCAATTTAGCTCACTTGGCCCTGTTTTTTATTTGAATGTCAGCTGGGTTTGGGCGTCTGTACGTTCAAATGCTTTAAAGGAAGAAAGATTAAGAAGCTGAGGGAGCTGTTCTAACTTTCTTTTGGTTCCTGGACTGGTGAAGTGAAGCCAACTTTCCCCACGAAAGTTTGTCTTGTGAGGTGGCTCAAGGCACCTCTAGTTTGCTCTGTTAGACTTCAACGTGGAGCCCACCCTTGGGGTTGGTGGGCTTCTTTGAACCAATTGAAACCCACATTTGAAAGGTGCCACAGGATCCCATAAGCCATATTGAACTTCCTTTTTTGCCTTTCTTAATGATCTAGGAGGAAGAAGTAAAAGGGGCTTCATTTCAGTTTTATTCCCCTCATTAACCACTGTATTCCCACAATTGGGTTCTTCCATTCATCTTTCCCCCTGTCTTTTATGCTAAATCCATTTTTTTATCCATAAAAGAAAGTACCTCTTTTCTGATGCTTCTTTGTTTCTTCCTCACTTGCCTCTCCTTCCTCCTCTTTATAAAGTCCCTCCCTCTCAAACCACTCCCACTATGGGCATATGAGATGAGGCTCTTGCCCCACTGGTTCTGGAAAGAATTATCATTCTTTCCCATATACAAGGTGATCAAGAACAGTCTTTGTACATATCTTTTTAGTATTCCATCGAGGATGTCCTTGAAAAAGAAATATCTTTCAAAAATAGAGAATGTTGAGGAAAACAGTGAGATGTCGGTGTTGGACTTGCCAGAATTGGTCTTGGAATGCATTCTAGAGAGACTTCCACCGGGCGCTCTATGTAGTATGGCGGGTGTTTGTAGTTCATTGAGAGAGAGATGTATAAGTGACCATCTTTGGGAGAAGCACATA